AACCCTAAACCTCAGCACTGAATTCCTCAACTCCAGTTCCTAGTGTTCTCGAAACCTGTCAACTTGCCAAGTCTTCGAAGGGGGGGGTGCTTAAGGATTTCGAAGCGCAGGAACTTTGAGGAAGAAGTTAGCCCCAAAAAGCCCTAGCCCCAAGCCTGGAAACTCTTGAGACCCAAGCCCGTGAGCCCTACCTTATAAACCAAAAACCCTACACCCTATAAACCCTCAACCCTAAACCCTACACCCTATATAAACCTGCAACCCTATACCCTACAACCTAAACCCCAGACCCTAAACCCTAAACCCGAATCCCAAACCCCAAACCCCAAACCCCAAACCCTAAACCCTAAACCCTAAACCCTAAACCCTAAACCCTCAGGCAGGACATGGGTACCCTACCAGAGGAGCGTCGGCGGAAGCACTGTGGAGGCCCCCCATTGCATTGGCAGGGCCTTGTGGGCTCGAGGTTGTTTAGGGTCTAGGGTTTACGATTTAGGGTTTTGGGGTTGGGGTTTTGGGGTTAGGGTTTAGGGTTTGGGGTTTAGGGTTTAGGGTTTAGGATTTAGGGTTTAGGGTTTAGGGTTTAGGGTCTAGGGTCTAGGGTTTAGGATTTAGGGTTTAGGGTTTAGGGTTCAGGGTCCTGCCTCTGGGGCACTTGTCCGGAGCACTGTGTTCTGGATCGATCATCTCAGATCATCTCTGTATAGGGTACTCCACTCCTTGCTGGGTTTAGGGTTTCGTGCTTGTGGTTTAGGGTTCAGGGCTTGGGGTTTAGGGTTTAGGCCCTAAGCCCTGAACCCTGAACCCTGAACCCTTGACCCTAAACCCTAAACCCTAAACCCTAAACCCTAAACCCTAAACCCTAAACCCTAAGCCCTTCCATTGACAGGCTTGCTCCTCGCCGTTTGCCAAGAGCCTGGGCTCTTGGCGGCCCTGGAGGCGAGGGGGCGGGGAGGCGATTTCCGGCAAGCGTGGGTGAGTGGGCTTGTTAGGGTTGAGGGTTTAGTGTTTGGGTCTTAGGGTTTAGGGTTAGGGTGAAGGGTTTAGGGTTTGGGGTTTGGGGTTTTTGGTTCAGGGTTTTGGGTTTTGGGCTTAGGCTCTGGGAATTGTGGGGGATGGCTGTTTAGAGTGGACCTCAACCCCATGCACCTTACCCGAAACGCCCACTCCGAAGGCCCTATATACGCCCCAACCCCCCCCTCCAGATCGATACCAGGAGCCGAACCACCGCCCACCCTGGAGAGAACTGCTGAGCCTCCCGGTGTTACAAGCTTGGGGGCATAGGGTGTAGGATTCAGGGCTTATGGGTTTAGGGATCCAGGGTTTAGGGTTTAGGGTTTAGGGTTTAGGGTTTAGGGTTTAGGGTTTAGGGTTTAGGGTTTAGGGTTTAGGGGGTTCCATGAGGGTTTGAGCTCGCCTGTGGAGGAGCCAACGTGAGCAACCTGAAGTCCACGAATAAGTGAAGAACCCTGATGCTCGACCCTAAACCCTAAACCCTAAACCCTAAACCCTAAACCCTAAACCCTAAACCCTAAACCCTAAACCCTAAACCTTGGGATGTCCCCCCTCAGTCCTTACGAGGCATTATAGCACTGTTAGTATAAGTGGGAACATCCCAACTTGAAGCCCTTTAAGCTTTGAAGCCTAAACTCTGAACCCCGGGAGGCCTTTTCATACGAAATCCTGTTCCTGGCTCCCTAAGACTTCCTTCACAGGGCCCAGAGGACCTAAACCCGAAACCCTACACCCAATCCTCAACGCCAAACCCTCGGAGAAATAAGGCAACTGGCTTCGAGACTCCAAAGAGCTCAAGGTCACTGATCAGGCGGGCTTTGCAAGTGGGGTGTAGGCCGAAGACCCCTAAACCCCTAAACCCCTAAACCCCCAAACCCCTAAACCCCCAAACCCCTAAACCCCTAAACCCCTAAACCCCTAAACCCCTAAACCCCTAAACCCTAAACGGGTCAGGGAACGGAGATGGTGAGCTCAGCTAAACCAGAGGGCTCCAACACCTAAATTTAGGGTTGTTAAGGGTAAACGGAGGGACCCCTAGAAGGGGCACGTAAGCTTATTCCCCTATGTTACCCCTATATCTACTATAGAGTCCCTATTTACCTAAGTAGCCCCTAAATGACCCCTAAATGACCCCTAAGGTCCCTTATAAGAGTCCCTCCTTTAGTCCCTTGAGAGGTTTAGGGGTTGCACTTACAAGGCTCTGAATCCGAAACGAATTGCCCCGAACACTCAACGTGTTAGTCCGGTCCTGACCTTGAGTGATCAAGAGCTCACCACAGTACATCAGTTTAGGGTTTAGGGTTTAGGGTTTAGGGCTTAGGGCTTAGGGCTTAGGGTCTAGGACCTTGCGTAGAGTTTACGATACCCAGAAGCCGTAGAGAATCCGAGAGATTGTGTAGGGTTTAGGGTTTAGGGTTTAGGGTTTAGGGTTTAGGGTTTAGGGTTTAGGGTTTAGGGTTTAGGGTTTAGGGTTTAGGGTTTAGGGTTTAGGGTTTAGGGTTCAAGTTTTAAAACCCTTAACCCTTAACCCTGAACCCTACCGCCACGCCGGCGGCTCTCATTAAACGACCGTGAGGCACCCCGTGAATAACATGTGGAGCACAGGCGACAGACAGCCTGCCTCAACATTCTACAACCAACCTACTCAAAGGATTAGGTTTGGGTTCAGAAGTTAGGCCCTAACCTGAACACACTTTGGGGGGGTTTACGATATTAGGGGTACCTTACTGGGGTCCTTATTAGGAGGGGATACTACTATTTGGGGGTCTATTTTAGGGGTCTCCTATTGTCGTAAACCCCATTTGTGAGCTCACTTTATCAGCTCTTGCAACCTTCGAAACCCTAAATCCTGTAGCCGTCGCCCCTGAAGCGTCAGAGCGGGCCTTTCAAGAACCCAAGCATGCCACAGTACCCGAAACCCTAAACTCTAAGCCCTGAACCCTGAACCCTGAACCCTAAACCACCCACCCCCAGCCCTTCCCCCACGTAAAGGAGCGGCGGCTTCTGCGGGTCTTCTCGGGCGATGACGAGCCGATCCGATGTCTGGCCACGGCCGACCAGCCCCTCAGCCGCGGCGTGTTTATGTTTTGCAAAAAGCTCCCTTTGGGAATAGGGTTTGGGGTTTAGGGTTTGGGGTTTAGGGTTTGGGGTTTAGGGTTTAGGGTTTAGGGTTTAGGGTTTAGGGGTTATTAGGGTTTAGGGCTGTTAGTGTTTAGGGGTTCGGGGTTGAGGGGGTAGAGTTTAGGGTTTAGGGTTCATTCAAAGCCCATGGGAGCCAGGTTAGGGGATTTTCGATTCCGGGGGTTTTGAAGGACTTCGGTGGTTTTTTTGGGCTTCAATGTTCAGGGTTGTGTGTTCATCGGTTGTGGGGGGGCGGCTTTCACAAGGATGCAAGAGGCTCGTAAACCCTGAGCCCCAACCCTACACCCTAAACCCTAAACCTTAAACCCCAAACCCTAAACCCTAAACCCTCTTTGGAGACTTTTAGGGTTTGATGAGTTTTTGGGGGGCTTGAGGAGGTTTTAAGGACCAGGGGAAGCACTTCAGCCTTAACACCTGCTGAAGCCCCAAGAAAAACTACAAACTACTTCCCCTAAACCCTAAACCCTAAGCCCTAAACCCCAAACCCTAAGCCCTAAACTCTAAACCCTAAGCCCTAAACCCTAAACCCTAAACCCTAAACTCAGAAAAGTTGTCTAGACTTCTTCTTCACGCCCTCCGGCCTTGTAGTTATCGTGTTCATAAGGCAGGGGGCTTCATGGGGGGGGTAGGTACCTAGGGAACCTGCGGGATGCTGAGGGAGTGTTAGGGAACCTTGAATTACCCTATAAACCCTAAACCCTAAACCCCTAACCCCCTAAACCCCAAAACCTTAAACCCACGCCCCCTCCCTTGAGAACCCTATGATGTAGGCTTGGCTCTCCGGTGAGTCTTGGTGTTCTCAAGAATCTATAGGGGTTAAGGTTTAGGGTTTAGTGTGTAGGGTTTAGGGTTTAGGGCGAAACCCGAAGCCCTCAAGTGCCACCTGAGTCGAAGGGACAGAACCTCGAAGCTTCAGCAGCTCACGCCCAACCTCAAGAACCCCCTTCGGCCTAAGAAACCGGCAAGGACTTGATGGTTTCTGTAGCCCTTAACCCTGAACCCTGAACCCCCGAACACCCTAAACCCCTAAAAACCCCAAAATACTACACCTGGTAGGGTTTCCGAAGGTCGGCCCTGACCACCCCCCCCCCCCCCCCCCCCCTCCAAAAAAAAAAAGAAAAGAAACGAAAAGAAAAGAAGCCCTCAACTAGGCTCCACACCGCAACTCTGCAGTGGGGGGGGACATTTAGTTTGTGTTTAGGGCCCCTAAACTTACGCTCCAAATCCGCGATGTGTTAAGATCCCGTTTCTGGGTGGCTCAAAGGCATGCCCACGTAAAGCGGCCCCAGGGTTTAGGGCAGGAGTTTCACCCACAACAAACCCTCCAAGCAGCTATCCCCATGCACGTTCAGGCTTGGTCTGGATGTAGCGGAAGGGCTTGGTGTCCCTATGCCCCAAAACCTAAAAGGGTTTAGGGTCCTGGGTTTAGGGCAACCTAAACTCCAAACCCTAAACCCCACATGAGCAAGGGTCAAAACTATGGCAATTGCGGTTGTATCTTGGCAGGAGATTTGCATGCTGAAGTGTCACAAACCCTGTAAATCGACGGGGAACATGGGAAAGCGCGCGAACTATATGCCAGACATCCAGAGTTTTGGATGTTTTCTGGGGTTGGTTTGGAGTCAACTCAAACGTTCTGTGGGCCCTGTACCTGTAAAGCTCTGCACAACCCATAGAAACCTAAAAAAAACTGGATTTTCTAGAGGCTCCCCCAAAACCCGAGTACTAGAGTTCAATGTCAGGCCCGGCACAAGGGTTTGGGCTTAGGGTTCAGGGTTGAGGGTTGAGGGTTTAGGGCTTGTGACGCCTCAGGGCACTGTTTTCTTGAGCGTGGATAGCCGCTCATGTCTGTCAATGTGGAAGTCGCGCTGCTCAGCGGAAGATCGGCCGCCATCACCGCCGAGCTCACCTGGACCGCAGCGGACCTCATGCGCGAGGCGCAGCGCATCTTGAAGGTTGGACCCTCGGTATTCAGCCCTTTTAACGGGAGGTTCTTCTTTTGTTGTTGGCGCATGTTCCCTTTTTTTGGGGTTGAGGAGGAGCTTAAGAGCTATAGCTTGGGATGTTCCCCCTTATACTACCGGCTCCCTTTCAGGGATTACCACAGGACGTACTAGAATTCCCCCTTAAGGGCTGTTAGTATAAGGGGAACATTCCAAGTTGTACCCTAAACCCTAAACCCTAAACCCTAAGCCCTAAGCCCTAAACCCTAAACCCTAAACCCTAAACCCTAAACCCTAAACCCTAAACCCTAAACCCTAAACCCTAAACCCTAAACCCTAAACCCTAAACCCTAAACCCTAAACCCAGGACCGGGCGTGTTGTTGCGCCCCACCGGTGAAGTCCTTTGCAGAAAGACGCTGGGGCAAGCGGGGCTGCAGAATGGGGAGGCCTTGACCCTGCAAGTGGGCCAAGTTCAGGTGGCTTTGTTTGGATTTAGGGTTTAGGGTTTAGGGTTTAGGGTTTGGGGTTTAGGGTTTAGGGTTTAAGGTTTAGGGTTTAGGGTTTAGGGTTTAGGGTTTAGGGTTCAGGTGGCTTTTGGTAGCCTAGTGGCGCCCTTTTCCCTTTCTTTTGGGCCCCTTGTATGGCAACGGTTCCACGGCTCCAGTCTAAAGTAACCAACCCCCCAAAAATGGGTGCCCTTTATGGTACTATTCCTAGGCAGGATAAGGGGGACCCTTAAAAGGGAAGCCCTTCTTAACCCTCTTCTGGCTCTGTTAAACAGGGACCTTATTCAGAGGGTTTATATCCCCAGCAGTCCCCCCTAATCCTATTTCCTGAATATGGCTACTGGGCTATACCACCCTAAACCCTAAACCCTAAACCCTAAACCCTAAATTCTAAACCCTGAACCCTAAACCCTAAACCCTAAACCCTAAACCCTAAACCCTAAACCCTAAACCCTAAACCCTAAACCCTAAACCCTAAACCCTAAACCCTAAGCCAAGGTGGCGGCCTCTCTGCCAGCCTTTGCCGCCATCGTCGGTGGCTCTGTGGTGTCGTGGGGCAGGTCAATCTGCGGTGGCGACAGCGGCGATGTCCAGAGTCAGCTACAGGCCAGGTTTAGGGTTTAGGGCTTAGGGTTTAGGGTTTAGGGTTTAGGGTTTGGGGTTTAGGGTTTAGGGTTTAGGGTTTAGGGTTTAGGACTTCGGGTTTAGGGTTTAGGGGGCCCTTCTTGGCACATCTTCCATTTTCCCTTACCGGCTTTAAGAGGTTTATCCCATTTTTCAGAGGGCTTTAAGGGCCATCCGAGCAGGGCGTCCAGCGAATTCAAGCCTCTGGCAGCGCCTTTGCTGCGATCCTGGCCGGGGGCTCCGTGGTCACTTGGGGCCATGTCGACTACGGGGGTGACAGCACCGCAGTTCAGGCGCAGCTTCATGACGTCTGCCAGATTCTTGCTGCTGGTTAGTAGGGGAATGAGGTAAGTGAGGTACCCCTGTATTATAAAGCCTTGAAGGGTATATATAGGGGGATAGGGTTTAGGGTTCAGGGTTCAGGGTTCAGGGTTTAGGGTTTAGGGTTTAGGGTTTAGGGTTTAGGGCAGCTCATTCCCTCGTTCCCTACAAACCAACAGTAAGGATTCAAGCCTCTGTCGCTTCCTTTGCAGCCATCCGCCTGGACGGGTCGGTGGTGACGTGGGGCAATCCGGACTTTGGTGGAGACAGCAGCACCCTGGCAAGCAAATGAACCCTGAACAGGGTTTAGGGTTTAGGGCTTAGGGCTTAGGGCTAAGGGGTTAGGGTTTGGAGTTTAGGGTTTAGGGCTTAGGGGGCTCCATAAGAACTTTTGTGGTACAGGGTATATGACCACGATTTTCGGGTTCCTTTGGTCGCCAAGGCAGTGTTCAACATCAGCTGGCCGGCGTGCGTTGGATCCAGTCCTGTCGGCAGGCAACCCTAAACCCTAAACCCTAAACCCTAAACCCTAAACCCTAAACCCTAAACCCTAAGAGGCTTTTGCTGCGATTACCTCGGATGGATCGGTTGTGACCTGGGGCAACGCTCATCCCTTCTCTGGTGGCTTGGTAGCCCAGCGGTACCCTTTTTCCCCTTTTTTTGGTTCAAGGTTCCCTTATAAAGTAACCCTAAACCCTAAACCCTAAACCCGAAACCCTAAACCCTAAACCCTAAAGCCTAAAGCCTAAACCCTAAACCCAAACCTCAAAAAGGGTACCCTTACTAGAATATGGTTGCTGGGCTACCAAGGAGGGGACTGCAGCTCCGTGCAAGAGCTGCTTCGAGCCTTGGGAGAAAGAGCGCCAGACAGATTTTAGGGTTTAGGGTTGAGGGTTTAGGGTTTAGGGTTTAGGGTTTAGGGTTTAGGGTTTAGCATTTAGAATTTAGAATGATATTAAATCGGAAAATCCCCATATAATAGTCTCTTATGAAAGGACCCTACTAAGGGTTTAGAATTTAAGATTTAAGGTTTAGGGTTTAGGGTTTAGGGTTTAGGGTCTGGGGTTTAGGGTTTAGGGTTTAGGGTTTAGGGTTTAGGGTTTAGGGTTTAGGGTTTAGGGTTACTATGCCGGGGCTGAGCTGAGGAGATGTGCAACACATCCAGGCCTCTGACCTTGCCTTTGCCGCTCTCCTGCGCGACGGCACAGTCGTTACCTGGGGCCATCCTGCCCCTGGCTGCAGTTAGTTTAGGGTTTAGGGTTTAGGGTTTAGGGTTTAGGGTTTAGGGTTTAGGGTTTAGGGTTTAGGGTTTAGGGTTTAGGGTTTAGGGTTTAGGGTTTGCAGGCCTGAAAGAGAAAACGTACACACCGGACCTTAAACCCTAAACCCTAAACCCTAAACCCTAAACCCTATAGGCTTAGGGTTTCGGAGCTTTGGGACCCTTTGCTCCCCACATGCCGAAAACAAGCCTTACGTGTAAAACCGTCAAGCCAACTCAAAGCCCCCTTAAGCCCTATAAACCCCAAAAATGGGAAACCCTAAACCCTAAACTCCCTAAACCTAAACCCTTAACCCTTCACACTCAACCTTACCCTAAACCGTACAACCCTGTAACTCTATAGGCCCTAAAACCATCGTAGAGGCCCTCGAGAGGAACCCTAAACCCTAAACCCTAAACCCTAAATCCTAAACCCTAAACCCTAAACCCTAAACCCTAAACCCCAGGAGTATGGGGGCGACTCCAGCGCCGTGCAGGGCCAGCTGCATGGGGTCAGGGAGATACAAGCCTCGGTGGCGGCCTTCGCAGCGATCCTTGTGATTGCTTTTTCTAAAGGGTTTAGCGTTTAGGGTTTAGGGTTTAGGGTGTCGGGTGCAAGGTGTAGGGTGTAGGGTTTAGGGTTTAGGGTTTAGGTGTTGTTTTCTTGTTTTGTTTCTTTTTTTGTGGGGGGTGGGGTGTTAGGGGGTTAGGGCTTGGGGTTTGGGGTTCAACATGTAGAGCCAGGTAGTTGGATAGTTTGGGGTTTAGGGGTTTGGGGTTCACAGGGTTTAGCGGGTATGGAACTCACTCGCATGTTTCCTCCATCTCAGTAGGCCCTGCAAAGCAAGCAACAACGTCCCAGGGCCGGAAATCCCGAAACCACCGTCCCTAAACGCTTTCCGGGCAGGCCCTAAACCCTAAACCCTAAACCCTAAACCCTAAACCCTAAACCCTAAACCCTAAACCCTAAACCCTAAACCCTAAACCCTAAACAGGCCCCCAGGGATTTTTTTATGTGTTCCCCTTCGTCGGTTTAAGAGGATCATCTTCAGGAATAGGTATGGCTTAGGGTTTAGGGTTTAGGGTTTAGGGCCCGCCGAGGATCTTAAAGGATGGGCGCGTGGTCACCTGGGGCAATCCGGAGACTGGCGGCGACAGCAGCCGCGTGCAGGAGAGGGGATGGAGCTCGTGGGGAGTAAGTGGGTGTAGGGTTACACACAAAGAAATAAATTAATACATGTATATGTATATGTAGATATACATATGTATTTATTTGTTTTTTTTGGGGGGAAGCTCAGAAAAAGGGCCCTCGCTGGCAGTTTCAAGTCGTTTTGGGGCGATGAGAAGCTGCGGGGCGCTGAAGGTTTAGTTCAGTTTGCCCTCGGCACCCTAAACCCTCAACCCTCAACCCTAAACCCAAAACCAACCCCTAAACCCTGAACCTTAAACCCTAAACCCTAAACCCTAAGCCCTAAACCCTAGACTCTAAACCTTTTCCTTGCACCTGGTCACAGGAGCAGCTCCAAGACGTGAGGCACATCCAGGCCACTGCAGGGGCGTTCACGGCCGTGCTAGAGGATGGATCGGCCGTGACGTGGGGGCATCCAGACTTCGGCGGGGACAGCAGCGCCGTTCAGTCGAAGTTGCGGGGTGTGCGCGAAGTCCAGGCCTCTGATACCTGGTCGACCCAGTGGTACTCTGTTTTTTTTTTTTTTTTGTGTGTGTGTGTGTTTTTTTTTAAAGGGGGTTCTAGGTTCCATTACTTACAGTAACAGTAAAACCCAAAAAGGGTACCCTTATCACAGGATGGTTACCGGCCTACCAAGGACAAGGTCTTTGCGGCCATTCTCAGTGACGGGTCGGCTGTGACGTGGGGGGATCCTTCCTATGGCGGGGACAGCAGCCAGGTACAGGAGAAGCTGCAAAATGTGCTGCACATCCAAGCCACCGATAAGGCGTTCGCTGCCCTACTTGCAGATGGCTCGGTGGTGACTTGGGGCGACCCTGAATATGGCGGCGACTGCAGTGCTCTGGCGCAACAGCTCACCAACGTGCAGCAGATTCAGGCTTCCCGCAGGGCTTTCGCGGCCGTTCTTGGCAGCGGAGGTATCGTGACATGGGGCAATCCCGACCTCGGGGGCGACAGTAGCGCCGTCCAACATTTGCTGCAACAAGGATGCTGATAGTCTGAGGGCCTACAGGCCTCCACACCCGGCACACAAGTTCAACACCGACCCGAAGCCCTTGCAGGACAGGTTCTTACATGCATTTGTTCAAGCACCACGTCTGCAACGAGGTTTTGTGACCTTGAAGTATTCAGAAAGCCTGCTTGCCTGTCACTAGATGGTCAGTGCTGCGGAAGATGGATAGCCCGGCCCCATGACAGCTGATCTTTCAAGAAAATTGTGCATTTTCGTCTGCCGTGGGAAGCAAGATGGCGACTCGCATTCGGCCTGTTGTTAATCTGCAGGCGGGCGGACGTACTAGGGCATCCCGTTATTGCAGCTTGACAAGCGAGAAACCAGGGACAGCTGCGCATGGCGTTCACTGTCGGTTCACAGTACGTGATCGATCCGGGACAAGGGACAAGTTAGCTGCGTGAGAGACCTGATTGCTTGGCAAGCAGCGGGAACAAGTGGACTGGCTCCGAAGCCTAAACTAGGGGCTTGTCCCGAGTTGAGCAAACCCTAAAACCCTAAACCCTAAACCACGTTAGGTGTGTTTACATAAAGGTCATCCTAGACATCGCCACCGAAAACCCAAACCCCTAAAGATCCCAAAGCCCCAAAACTGCCCTAACAACCCTAAGACCACCAAAACCCCCGAACTCTCCCAAGCCTAAAACCCTAAGACCCCCCCCCCAACCCCATAAACCCCCTAAATCCCCTAACCCTGAAACCCACAGACCCCCGAACCTCCTTAACCCCCTAAATCCTAAACCCTAAACCCTAAACACTAAACCGGAGCTGTCCCTGGAAGCTCTCAGGAAGAACCTCGAGACCTTCGTGACCTATGGCGGGCGGAAGATGGATGACCTCCTGAGGCGGGAGCTTCAGGGTTAAGGGTTTAGGGTTTAGGATTTAGGGTTTATGGTTTAGGGTTTAGGATGTAGGGTTTCGGGCTTAGGGCTTAGGGGTCCTTGAAAAAGCAAAGCCTAGGAAGCTCTGTGCAATTATTGCCGGTAGACATGAGGCATCAGGTCCTAACCCTAAACCTTACAAGCCCCCAACCCTGAAAACCTAAACAGACTGGGAAGCAAAAGAAGGGTTTTGGGGGGTTCGGATGGAAGGAGGCTGCCCCTAAGTTCCCCCTACCCCAAACCCTAAGCCCCACATCCCAAGCCCCCAAACTCCGCAGGGGTATAGGGTTCAGGGAAAGCCTCCAAGCCTGAAGCCTCCGCTCCCCTCTACCAAAATCCTCAAATCCTCTAAACCCTGAAGCCAAAACCCCCTAAATCCCCTAAATCCTCTCAACCCTAAACCCTAAACCCTAAACCCTAAACCCTAAACCCTAAACCCTAAACCCTAAACCCTAAACCCTAAACCCTAAACCCTAAACCCTAAACCCCCTCACTCCCTAAGCCATAGCAGACGCAGGTGGCGTGTGCTGGGCCATCTGGCAGCCGTTCCTTGGCTCTAACGCTCGGGGATTTTGGGTTGCGCGGGGTTGGGGGGTTTAGGGTTTAGGGTATAGGGTTTAGGGTTTAGGATTGAGGGTTTAGGGCTTAGATTAAGGGTTTAGGGTTGAGGGTTGAGGGCTGAGGGATCAGTCTAGGGCTTGCTCTAGCTTAGGTGCAGACTTCTCGGGGCACTACAAACTCAAAGAAAGGTTTTAGGGTCTCAGGCCCAGAGACTCCAAAACCCCTTAGTTAAGGAATGTACCTTAAATCACATTCGGGTGCCTATTCTAATTTCAAGGTATATTCCTCAATTAAGGGGTTTTGGAGTCTCTGGGGGGTGTTGCGGTTGGCACCCCACTCAACCAGCAGGCAATACCATCCCCTTTTTGGGGTTCAAGGTTCCCTTATAAAGTAACCAATCCAAAAAAGGGTGCCCTGATTACAATATGGTTACTGGGCCACGAAGTCTCGATATGCTTGAACACCTTAAAAGCTTGAGCTACGCTGACCAACGCAGGCCCCAGGTTTCAGGAGGGGGCTCTATACCACCGTGCTTTTCTTCTAGGCTCATATATACAAGAGCAATTATACTCACCTAAACCCTAAACCCTAAACCCTAAACCCTAAACCCTAAACCCTAAA